ACACACACACACACACACACACACACACACACACACCATTCTGTGCTTTATCTACTGGGGGAACATACCAAAGACAAAAAACCCAAGCATTCCATTTCTCCACAAACTGAAAAGGCCCTTCATATCACGGGGTGAGGCTGGCCATCCAGAGGGGCCTTGGCCCTGCTGAGATATCCCTGCTCTGCTGGTCTGGTCTGTGGGCACGGCTTAGGTCGGTGGTGCTGTCTCTATGGCTCCAATGGCTAGCACAAGGCTGGCACAAAGAAGATATGAGGCAGGGAGGAACGATCAAGCTCTGTAGGTAAGCAGCACCCCTGCCCAGCCTACCCCGCCTCCGCTCATCCCTGATTCACAGGAGCAGTTCTACCTGCCCTACGGAGTCGCTGTGAATGGGCATGGACTCCATCACAGTAAGTTTTGGGCTTAAGCAGAGGGCAGAGGTCTCTATTGCCCCCTCATGGACGAAGGCAGAAGTGGAGAACACAGACCCTTCTGACATCATGCCACCTGCGTGCCCTTAGTCTCTACCAATCCTTAGATTTACAAGACATTAACCTGATCCCTTGAACCTTTCCTAGAACTGATCCTTGAGTTTCCTGGAAACTTCTATTCATCCTTCAAAACCCAGTTCAAATGCACCTTCATCTAAGACATCTACCAAGACCGGGTCAGGGTCTCGCAGTTTCCTGAGGTTTCCTTTTTCTGGACATTGGTTAAAGGGGTTATTGACCCTTCCAGGAAGGGGCCCCCGGAACCTGTGGATGGCCCCACAAGGCCAAAGGCCACTGGCAGGCTGTGAGACAGCAGCCAAGAGGGGCACTTAATGGGAATCTGTGAGTGGCACCAAGGTTAAACATGAAGTGGCATACAGTAGGCACTCAATTAGTTGATTTTTGACAACTATTGATGTAATGCTCAGAAGAGAAGCTCACATATAAAAGCCTCAAAGCATTTTGCTGACAATGAGCCCACGGCTAATAACATGTTGTATTTGCCAAGACTTATTTTGGGCTTCGGCTGTATTACTAGAGGGAATGTCTTTGGAAGTGGGGAGGTGAGCCTTTGTTAAGAGAGATCAGCATTTTTCCCTGGAGGGATTTCCAGTCGATGGACATGACCGAGCCAGTGCCTGCCTCCGTGGCCCCTGCCCAAGGCTGTGACCTTGGGGAAATTGTTGCCCCCTCTCTGGCTTCACGTTCCTCTTCTGTTCTGGCCAGGAGCTGGACTAGTGACCTCCAGGGGCACTGCCCGCTCTGACTAAAGTCTGTCTGATTCTTCACAAAGTCTCTGCCTGGCAGACTCGAACCCCTAATTTATGGGCCTGGCCTTTCCCAGTCTGGGAGAAGTGATGGGGCCAGGGGGGTGGGGGTGGGGAGTTAATAATATTCCTGTGGCCATGCACTGAGCTCTTCTCCCCATCACTGCTCCCTCACACCCTCCACGCTCTGTCCTCCGAGCTGCTTCAGGGCAGCAAGTCAGGGGCTGGCCACCCCTCTGGAGACCACCTCAGCCAGCCCTTCACTGCACTGCTCCCAGAGCCGGGGAGGGTGGCCAGTCTGTCCATGCTCCTAACGTATGCCCACTCCTTGGGTACTGCCTCTTGCAGCCAGACCCAAGCCTGCAGAAGCCAAGCTTTACCCTGGAGTTGAACCGGACAATGCCATGAGCTGGGGGCCCCGACAAAGGGTTCTTCCAGCAGGTCCCCGGACTCCCAC